GTAGGTGACGGTGTTGGGGACGATTCCCGCGCGTTTCATCTCCAGCAGGACCCGCACCGACAGCACCGGCTCCCCGTACTGCCCACACAGCTGCATCAGGATCCGGTAACACACCTGGGGGAGGGGAGGGACCGCTGGGGATCACCCATCCGACCCCCCCCTGCTGAGCTCAGCACCTCCCGATCCCGCGGGAACACCGGCAGGGGGGGTTGGAAGGGACCTCTGGAGATCATCCAGCCCAACCAGCCCCAGAGCAGGGGCACCCACAGCAGATCCCACAGGAACATGTTCAGAGGGTCTGGGATGTCACCAGAGAAGGAGACTCCACCAGGAACATGTTCAGAGGGGTTGGGATGTCACCAGAGAAGGAGACTCCACCAGGAACATGTTCAGAGGGGTTGGGATGTCACCAGAGTTGACTCCACCACCTCCCTGGGCAGCCTGTCCCAGGACTCGTCGCCCCCAGACCACAGAAGTTTCTCCTCAAGCTCAGCCTGACCCTCCTGTGCTCCCACTTGTGCCCGTTGCCCCTTGTTCTGTCACTGAGAAGAGTCTGGTCCCCCCCTCCTGACACCCCCTGGAGACACTGAGCATTGAGGAGACCCCCCCTCAGCCTCCTCCTCTCCAGCTGAACAGCCCCAGCTCCCTCAGCCTTCCCTCACGGGGCAGATGCTCCATCCCCTCGGCATCTTGGGGGCTTGTACTGGACTCTCTCCAGTAGCTCTGTGTCCTTCACAGCCTGGAGAGCCCAGAACTGGACCTGTGCCCTCACCAGAGCAGAGGGGCAGAACCTCCCTAACCTAGCCACGCTCATCTTGATGCCCCCTAGGAGCCCTTCTTGGCCACCAGGGCACAGTTGCTGCCTCCTGGTTTCTCCTCCTATCCAACCTCCATCTCCCTCTTCCAGTTTTCACCCCTTCCCTCCTCCTCCCACCACCCCAGGGCACCCACCTCGTCAGGCAGCACCACCTTCTGAACCTCCATCTTGCGCAGGACCTCGTAGGCCAGTTGGAGGGCCCTCAGCTTGGCAGGGGCAGCACGGACATGGGTGGGCAGGTAGAGGAACCAGAGCCCATAGCAGTGGCCCAGAAGACACTTGGCCCACATGTCGGGCACTGAGGAGTATTTCTGGGCCACCCGTTGGGCCACCTTCATCTCCTGGAAGGACGAAGAAGGAGCTGGAGGTGGGAAGGGAGGTGGAGTCCTGTGCACCTCGCTGTCCCATCCCTCCCAGCTGAG